GACGTCCAGGTTTTCCTGATCTCGAGATCGCCCAGCACCTCCGGAGGCCATCCGCAGTCACCGCGTCGGGCGTCCGCGGTGGCGCAGCCTCTGGCGGGCGCGAGGACGCCTCGAGGAGAAGATCCGAGGATACATGCCTCGGTCGTCGACGATCGGTGTGATGGAGGGCCGGTCCTCGAGCGGCGCGAGGGTGCTCCACCTTGGGCGCCTGTGTGCCCGCGAGCCCCACCAAAAGACGCGGCCTCCTCGTCGGCCGTCGCGCCTTCCCAGCGGAGCCGCCGCTCAGGCGAGCTGGTGGTGGATGCGGAGGCCGAGGCCCTCAACCGCGAGATGGTGGTGCCCCGCCACCCAGGCGTCCGCCCCCCCCCGTCCTTAGCTGCCCTGGTACGCACGTGTTGAAACGCAACACGTTCCGTGTTCAACACGTCTCTCACGAACGTGTTGGCCCACGTTTTGGCGAAAGCATCGTTCCAGACTTACAGTAAAAAACCCTAATAAGGACGCGCGACTTTGCTCAGGGTACCCTTGCGTCCTTGCTCTTCCTTGCTCTTGCGTCCTTGAGGTTTTCGTCGTCCGCCGCCCCAAAAATCCCAACTTCGGCTTCCAAGGGTCTTGCGTCCTTACCGCGCGTCCTTATTGGGGTTTTTGATGGTACGTTTTGAATCTTTCTGTTGAGCTCCGTGTCAACACGCTACTGGTTGCGTGTTGCGTATCGAGGCCCCCTCGCCCCCGCTTCGCAGGATCGTCCCCTCATGTGTTTTACGATGGCCAGACGTCGCGTGCAGTTGCCGTCTCAGCTGGCGTTCTGCGTAGACATTGCTTTTCGGTCACTGCTTCGGCCTGCGCGGTACAGTGCTGCATAGTGCAGCATCGGCCTTCACATCTCTCGATTGGGGATGCGGATCGGCTTCGCCATCTCGTTTCGGTTGGTTCGTGATGCGAACGGCACGTGCGCGAGCTAACAGCGACAGCATCGATACATGTGCATGCTACTACGTAGAAAACCTCTCGAAGGATCGAAGGTTCCAGCTTTTCACTAATAGCGTTTCGCTCGAGGTTTCTAATCATTGTATGTTAGCCAGCAGGGACCCCAAACAGAAGGTCTCTGTCAGTATACGTGTATATATAGATATGTGTGTATACATATCTTGGATACATGTATGCATCTGTAGCAATACACATGTACACATGGTGCAAGCTAGGGGTGGGGTGGGGGGGGGGGCAAGCCATGTGGTGAAATCAATGCGGTGCGAAGCAATGAAAAGCAATGCAACGCAATGCGAAGCAATGCAGCGCATTGCAAAGCAATGGAACACACGGCAAACCAATGCACATCAATACAACGCAATGCAAAGCAATGCAAACTACTGCAAACCATATCATGCAATTCAAGGCCGTGCAATGCAATGCAAGGCAATGCAAAGTACTGCACACATGCAAAGCAATGCAAGGCAATTCAAAGCGATGCAACACACTGTCAGGCAACGAGAAGCACCGAAAGCACTGTACAGCAACGCGAAGCAATGCAATGCAATGACAAGCAATGCAAAGTACTGCAGAGCACTGCAAAACAATACAATGCAATGCAATGCAACGCAAGGCAATGCGAAGCAATACACAGCAACGCAGCATCATGCAACGCATTGCACAGCAATGCGATTGCAGTTCAGTGAAAAGCATTACCATGCAACAGGGGGATGCACCGGGGAGGCGGCCACGGACCAGAACGGGGTCGCCTGGCCCTAAACGGTTTTATATTCGGGAAAATCGTGCGGCAACGGGCTGGAACGGGGCCGCTCGGGGAGGAGACATCCGAGCCTCGAAGTGCAAGCACTGGCGCCTCTGCGGCCAGGCGCTGGGGAAATTTCCGGCGTGAGCGGATTCGCGAGCCTCCCCGTTCCGTCCGATCTGGCCTTCGGGAGGCTCCAGGGAAGGCGCCCGTGAGGACACCAAGATGCAGTGAGACACTCCTGAGAGGGCCCCCCCAGAGAGCCCACCCGAGACACTCTCCGAGATGGCCCAACCCGAGGAGCCCAGGATGACCCAGGAGGGCCCACGGGCGGCGACATGGCGGCCCCGGGAGAGTCCGCAGAGGGCCCCGAGGAGCGCCCAGACGGCTCAAGGGGACGCAGTGCAGTCAGCACGCTGAAATATGAGGGCCACTTCGTGCTCGGAAGGGGGTCGTTATTCCTTGGATCCTTCCACGAGTTTTCCTTTGGCGCTCCTCGTGCACCCAGGCGCCGTTGGGGTCAGAGAGGGGCTGCGTTTTGTGTTGCAGCGCTCATGACGGTAGCATGATGACTTCATGCCCCCGGACGGCCCCCGAGAGACCTCCAATACGCCTCCAGGATGGCGAACAGAGAGCCCTACGTTCAGGAGCTTTTGCTCACCGAGTCGCCCCGCGGGGTCTGGCCCAGCATACCTCGGCGGGACACGCTAACAACCGCGTCCTGATTCCCAAGCGCCACCGACCCGAACTTATCCCGAGCCTCCCGCCCCGCAGAGCGGAGCGACACGCTATCCGCTCGCAGGGCATCGCATGTCGCAGGGGCCGCCGCAATGACTTGCTACGCAAAGTTCTTGACCGCATGCACCCCGAAGGCCCCCCAGAGACCCCCCACAGGCCCTCAAGATGGGCAACAAGAAACCCTGGACGATCAGGTAGGATCTCTCGACACAGCTCAGGACGCTCTGAGGTTGCACATGATACCCCCACGACGATGGAAGAGGCTCACGAGAGGTCCCAACACAGCAGAAAACAGCATCACACATCGGCAAGCATCAGCAGCCAGCAGCACACTGCAGCATGCAGAGGCGACACCACGCTCTAGAACGTTGCCCCACGCAGCAGGCCTTCAGCTCCCTGCTTTTTGCATTTTCTGGGGTGGCGGACGTCATCGGCCCCCCTCCCGTAGGTGGCGGCGATCTGCACCGCAGCGCCTGTGAGCACCGCAGTGCTCGCGTGCACCGCAGCGCGCGTGTACACCACAGCGCCCGTGTACACCGCAGCAGCCGTGCACAACGCAGCGCCTGTGCACACCACAGCACCTGTGTACACCGCAGCGCCTGCGTGCACCACAGCGAGGGTGTACACCGCAGCAAACAGTGTGCAGCACAGCGCCCGTGTACACCACAGCGGTGGCGCGCACCGCAGCGCCTGTGCGCACCGCAGCGCCCGTGTGCACCACGGCAGCCGCGAGCAACGCAGCGCCGGTGTACACCACAGCGCCCGCGTGCATAGGACAGGTAGGCGGAGGCTGTCGGTGAGGATATGCTGCGGACAGCTACACACCACGCCAGGGGAATGCTGATAACAGAATGCGATGTTCTGCCCTCCTCTCTCCTCCTTCTCCTCCTCCTCCTCCACTTCCTCCTTCTCCTCCTCCCTCACCCTTTCCCCCGTCGTGCGGGTCGGCGCTACAGGGCACGTGCGCATCTCAGCGTGCACCGCAGACTGGCCGATTGAATCAGTCAACTTGGTTTCCAGACGGCCAATTCTGCGGGAGCTTTCTGGACGTAGATGGGAGGAGTTCGGATGATGCGGGAGGACTTCGGAGATTCCAGCGGCGCTCCTTTTTCCATAACGATTCCGGTCCAAATACTAAATACGACAATTTATCCTGTGGAATCCACAAGCGATTGATTTTGTCAGAAATATTCCTTTTAGAATTCTATGTGCAATAATGGTGCTCTGTTGCACGCGGTTGCTGTGCTGCACACAGGCGCCGTGGTGTACACAGGCGCTGTGGTGCACGCGGGCGCTGTGGTGTTCACTGGTGTTGTGTTGCACACGGCTGATGTGGTGTACGCAGGCGCTGTGGTGTACACAAGCGCTGTGGTGCACGCAGGCACTGTGGCACACACTGGCGCTGTGTTGCACGCGGCTGCTGTGGTGTACATAGGCGCTGTGGTGTGCACAGGCGCTGTGGAGCACGCAGGCACTGTGGTGTACACAGGCATTGTGGTGCCTCGGTCATTCCCAGGCATTCCCAGATGCCGCCGACGCGAAACGTGACGTTATCGGCACCCTTCCCTTCCCCCTTCCAGATGACGGCCGCCATTGGCCTGGAATAAGAATACAGGGCTCCAAGAGGCGCCAGGCAGCCAAAGTTGTCAACATCTTCGGCAAGTTTGCCTTCTAGTCTTGACATGTCTTTAACTGGGCTCCAGACTCCAGAGAGCCCCAAGTCTGCCCAAGGATGGTTCAAACACACAACGGGCTAAGAGGGCCCAACGAGACCTCCAAGATTGCTCGAGGGGGCCTCCCTGCAAATGTCCAACGAAACCCATGAAAGCCTCAAGACGGCCCAAGACGTCGGCAAGATAATGCAAACGAGCCGTTCTAGGGACCCGGAAGTGTCAGAAGGCTCCGAGAGAGCGCCCACCAGGCCCTACCAGGCTGGAAGACACTCACGCGCAGCCCGAGAGAGGCCCGAAGGGGCGCGAAGAACGGCCTAAACAGCAGCAATCAGCAGCACCAGGCAACGGCAGAAATTGGTGAACAGGTTTAAGCAGAAGTAGGTAGCAGCAAGCAGCACCAGGCTGCAGCACGTATTCGCAAATATCAGCAAACGGCAGCAGGCGACGCAAGCAGCAGCGCTTTCCGTCGCCGAGCAGCTGGTGGCTCGTTGTATCTTTGGTCGACGAGAGACGCCCACGACGGCCCAAGAAGCGCCCCGAGGACCCCAGACGGCCAAATATTTACCCAGCAGTCGCTCGGAGCGGGCTGAGAGGCTGTCCAACTGGCACTCCAAGATCACCCAAGCGGGCCCCCATACCGAGAGGCTGAGGAGTGGGCCCAAGAGAGGCCCCACGAGGCGCCCAGGCAGGTCCCAGACAACCTTAATCGCCAAGCAGCATGAAGGAGTTTGATGTTGTTGTGTTCCAGAGGCTCTCTGACCTGATATGGATTTGAGAGCTTCGGGGGCCCAACACGGCCCAAGATCGAGCAAACAAGTTTCTAAAGTGGGACAAGAGAGCCCCAGGTGGGCCCCGACGAAGCTCAAGGCTCTGGGGGGCGCAAGACGGGTTTTGAGAGCCTTGAGACGGTGCAGAATGGCGCTTGGAGCGCGCCGAAGCGGCCCCAGGCAGCCCCCCGGAGAGCCCCAAGACGCTCAAATACGGCCCAAAATTGCCCGAGTGGCCTTCAAGCGGCGCACCAGATGCCGAGGACTTTGCAGCCATTCAAGGCTCAGGGCGTCTCCGCTGCTCAATGCGACGGCGGGCGAGTAGTTGGGCCCGCCGAGGCTCCCGACAGCCCTGACCGCCATGGGCAACGTTGCCTCCTGCGAGTGCCCCCCAAGAAATACGCGCGATCACGAGAAGACTGACAGCGAGTTGGACGTCGCCAGGGACCTGGCGGCCCGGCTCGGGCTGGTCACGCTGAGCAATTCGGCCAGCAGCGCCACGTTGATGGGCAAGGATATCAGTGCCAAGGAGCAGAGGCTCTTCATGCGGGTCATGGACAAGCTGGAGGAGCACACCGAGTTCATGTCCAGCGGCGACAGCAGCATGGCCGGGGACTCCGTCATAAACGGAGGCATGGACACAGACTACGGCGACGACACCGAGCTGCAGCGCTGGCAGACCCCGAGCCTCTTCTCCCGCCTGCTGGCCGGCCTCTTGGGCCGCCCTCCTTCGCTGCCGAACGTCAGGGTGGAGGACTGGGAGCTGGTGAGCGCGTGGGAGCAGCTCCGGCACCACCAGTTGCCCGACCGGCTCCTGGCCGAGCGCATCCTGAAGGCGGTGACGAAGCTCTACGCGTCGCAGCCGAACGTCGTCAAGGTGGCGCGCCCCGGCTCCGGCCAGAATCTGATTGTCGTCGGGGACCTGCACGGCCACCTGGGCGACCTCATGCACATCCTGGACGAGTACGGGGAGCCGAAGGAGGGTGCGGGAGGCACCGCCTACGTTTTCAACGGCGACTACGTCGACAGGGGCACGTGGGGCCCGGAGGTGTTGCTCTGCCTGTACTGCCTGAAGCTGCGCTTTCCCGGTGCCGTGCACCTGAACCGCGGGAACCACGAGGACGTCAGTCTGAATTTGCAGCCCGAGAACGGTTTCCGCGACGTCCACTGTGTGCGCGCCTGGAAGAAGGACGCCGCGCTGATGTACAGGCTCTGCAGGCGCAGCTTCTTGTGCCTGCCCTTGGTCCACGTCATCGGCGACGAGCTCTGCGTGCTCCACGGGGGGCTTGCCCTCGACCCGGGCGTGACGCTCGCGGAGATCAACATGATCAACAGGAAGCGCGACCTGCCCATGCGGAGCTGCCAGAACCTGGGCTACCCCGCCAAGCAGAAGGTCACCGCGAGAAGGGAGCTGATCACGAGGGAGAAGGACCACATCGCGGTGGGGACGCCTGGGCAGATCATCGGCAAGATCAAGAAGTCCCGGGCCGTGGAGGTGGCGTTCGCCGATGGCCACGCTGTCGTCGAGGTCTTCGGCGCTCCAGAGCTGGAGCAGAACCTGAGCATCGAGTACGCCGATGCCCGCGAGAAGGAGCTGCAGAGGCTCGACCGCATCTTTCTCGCGCTGCTCTGGAGCGATCCGATCGAGGAAAACCCCGACAAGGACCCCGAGGAGCCTGGTCCGAACACGGCCAGGGGCATGGGCATGCGCTTCGACGCGAAGGTTCGGGGGAGCGTAAGACCCGGGTTTGCCAGGACTCGGATTCGCCATCGTTTTTTGACGACAGCGCATCGGATTTTGACGAGGAGGAGTTTCGTGGGATGTCTGCAGCGGGAGGCCTCGTCAAAATGCAGGCTCGGCCTCGTCATTTTTTTGACGACCTCGTCGGGGATTTCCGAGTCCCCTGTACCCAGGTCTTACGTCCCCCTGAAAGGTGACCGAGGAGTTCCTCCAGAACAACGGTCTCCAGTGCCTCCTGCGCTCCCACCAGAAGCGCGAGACCGGGTACGAGACCGAGTTCCGGCGGGGCGACGCGCCCCTGGCGGTGACGATCTTCTCCGCGAGCAATTACCCGGCGGGGGCGGGCGAGTTGCTGCAGGATCGGGGGCGGAAAAGAGGGGGGTGATGATTAGGGGGGGATGGATATCATGGCGGGGGCCATGATTTTTCCCCAGATTTCATGGCGCCTCTTCTTGTTTCATTACGTCCCTGGCCCCCCCGCTGGGCCACGCACATGCCGCCGGTCATGATTTGCACCCCCCCCTCTTGGACACCCCCCTCTTGGCCGCTCCCGGCAGGCGGGCAACAAGGCTTCCGTGGCCGTGCTGTCGGGGGAGGGGTCGTCCGTCTCGCAGCCCCTGACGTCCGTGATGAAGGCCAGCAAGCCGTGGTCAGAGCCGCACAGCGACCTCGTGCGTTGGAGCCGCCCAGTGATTGGGGGCAAAGCGCTGACGGGCATCAAGGCTTCCGAGCCCCCAGGATCGAGGATGAACAAAGGCATAGGATGCACACCAAAGACGGTGTGGGCGTTGGTTCAGGAATGTGCCCAGGAGGGTTCAGACCCCTGAGGATCTCTTGTCCGATGAGGGCGGCGGTGATGTCCATGGCCAATCCACCACTGGAGCTCCACCAGCTTCAAGATCCTGGGTTCCTTACCCAATGGTTCCTTATCCGATGTTTTCGCCGTGGGAGATCGGCGCGTGAGCAAGTGCTCCACGGAATTTCGTGTCCTCCCCGATGGTCCAAGGACCCACGGGAACTCCACCGACGCCGCAGTCCTCGGGCACCCAGGACAAGAAGCTCCATGCGAAGCTCGCGCGGGATCAGGCCCTGGAGCAGCTGTGGCTGAAGATCTACTGCCGCAGGCCTGAGCTCATGGCGTTCCTGTCCAACCTGGACAGGGCCGACACGGGCGCAGTCACCCTTGCGCAGTGGGCGTCTGCGATGCGAGGTTGCCTCATCCCCGACGAGTCTTTTCCGTGGGAGGAGTTGGCGCCACATTTGGCCACCTTCTACAAAGGCAAGTGCCAGTACATGGCCTTTTTGATGCGGTACAAGAACGTGCTCTCCGCCCGACTGGAGAGTCACTGGACCAGGAGGGCCCTTGGGCAGTTGTTCGGGAAGATGGGCGGGGGAGACGATGCCGAGGCTCAGTGGAAGCAGCTAGACCGCAACGCAGACGGGCAGCTGTCGTACTTCGAGCTGCGGCCGCTCCTGAAGGCGAACCTCGAGTTCACCGCCTCGGACATCGAGAACGACGGCGTGTACGCGCTGCTGGCGGCAATGGACAAGAACTGCAGTGGGTTCGTCGAGAAGGGCGAGTTCCTGGACGCGATCGGGCGCGGGAGGGAGTGGCACGAGAACCCCGAGCGGCTGGGGCAGGCCTCCAAGGAGGAGAACGAGGCGATCGATCGGTGTTGGGGCTTCCTGCACAGCGCCATGCGGACGCTCGCGTCGAAGCGCACGTCCGTGTCGAAGCTGTTCAATTTCCTGGACACCAGTCGCGATGGCGTGCTGTCCAGCCAGGAGTTCATGACGGGTATGAAGATTCTCCTGAAGGAGCCGAAGAAGAGCAAAATTGCATGCGGTCGGACCGAGGTTCAAGATCGAGGTCGTGTCGGGAAGGGTACCCTGATGCTCCTTGTGTTTGTTGGATGTTCTTGTGCATCCTGGGGGAGGGTACCCTCGAGAGATCTTATGCTTTGGGATGCTTTGGCCGGCGGAATGTTCTTGAAGGATCTTCTTCTGTGTTGGGTCCGACTGTAGGCACGAGCTTCCAGAGCTCCGCGCGGTTTTCTTGAATCCGCGCTGGGTCCCCCTGGCGGCGACATCCGGCGCGCGCCGCCCCTGGTGCGCTCTTTTGCGCCAGGCGGCGCCAGGGAGAGAGGGTGCCCAGCGCCGATCCACGTGTCGACTGCACGTGCGAGCGGCCCATTCGCCGGAGTGACCTCTGGCGCGGGCTCCTCGGGGCCCTTCCGCTCGTGGAGCACGTTGCGATAGCAGCGGATTGCGCGCTTGGATTTGGCCACCTTGCGCCCCCCTGGTCCTTGCACCAAAGGTCATTCTCGCCTGGGGTCACTCTTGCGTGTCGTCGGCAGAGATCCGCGTGGACCTCCGAAGTTTCATGTTTCTGCCGTTTCGTCATCTCTCTGGTCGGGCGACAGGGGTGGAAAACGGGAAGAGGGATGTACGAAGTCTGCCTCATGCAGCTGGTCTCGGCCCCACTGCCAGGCGCTTTCCTCGATACATCTTGGCGACTCCGGCGCTGGGAGGCGCCCGGGAAATTTGCTAGGTTGGCTGATTCGCAAACCCCACCTTCGCTACCCCCCTGTTGTCCGACCCGATTTTTTGGCCTGAGGAGGACAAGCAACTGACGAAGAACATGAGCAACTGGCATCCGCTCCTGTGGACGCTGATCGACACGGACTCGAGCGGCTCGGCCTCACTTGAGGAGCTCCAGTCCGCGCTTTACGTGGTGGACTCTGTGAGCGAGTGACGGGCGGCCCCCGCGCAAGTGCCTTCCCTGAGCAGGAAGGAGAGCCAGGTGAGCATTGGGAGTAGCATCAGGAACGAATAACGAAACATCGGAATAAGCATGATTTCTCTGAGCTCCGCGCGGATTTCTTGTGTCAGTGTTGTGCCCCTCTGGCGGCACCTCGGGTGCCGCCCCAGGCGCGCTCCGCGCTCCAGGGAGGGGTGTCCAGCGCCGACCCAAGAAATCCGCGCAGACCTCGGAGAACTTATGTTTATGCTGCTTTCTTTTCACTTTATAGGAGGAGGGCGAGGACGAGGAGGTGGAGGAGGAGAAGAAGGAGGAGTAGCAGCAGGAGGGCTCCGTCTTGGGGGCCTCCTGGGGCCTCCTGGGGGCCCCTCGGGGCCGAAGGTTCGAAATGTCCGTTCGGGTTCCCCATCCGGGACCCCACTTTGAGCCGTCTTTGTGCCCTCTTGGGCCGTCTTGGGCGCCTCTTGGGCCGGCCCTCTTTGGCCGTCTTGGGGCTCTCCTGGGAGCTTCTGGGGCCTTCTAGGGGCAATCTTGGTGTCCTCTTGGGCCGTCTTGGAGCGTCAGGAAGCGGAAGCGGCAAGAAGAAGGCCAGATTCGTCAAGCACTGCATGAACAACAACGATTTTTGCTTGTCGAGGCCCTCTTTTCAGGAGCCTCTTGGGGCGTCCTGGAGACTTCTTGAGCCGTCTTGGGGCCATCTTGGGCGTCTTGGAGCGAGCTGTAGACGTCTTGAAGCCCTCTTGGACCATCTTGGGAGTCTCTTGGGGCTCTCTTGGAGCTGTCTTGGCCCATCTTGGGAACTCCAGGGGGTACGCTGGGAGCCCCGGTAGATTTGAGGATTTGGGGCCCGTGCCCCTTAAGACCCCTCAGGATCGAGGACTAAGGCGTAGGCGATTGGGCAAAGGACCTGAGGGCACGCCCACTCCCTGCTCAGCGGCACCGTGGCGGATCTACATGTGTGTATATATATATATGAAGAGAGAGAGAGAGAGACAGACAGGTGTACAGCTACAGGTACATGTGAAAACACATACACATATACATGCACATGCGCAAGTACACGTACAGTTGCATATAATATGCATGTGCAGATGCACATTCATTTACACAAGCACGTCCATGTACATATGCACATCTATCACCATTTGCATCCATATATATATATGTGGATAAGCAAATACACTCACATACACATCTACATCTACGTACACATGTAGACATGCACACGCCTGACCATGCACATGTGCACATATACATCGATTCGCACATCCATGCCTCCACATACACTCGTACATCTGTATATACATGTACGTATGCATCTGCGCTCATGTACATCTACATATTTATACACATTTGCAGTCACATTAACACAACCGTATTCGTGCTCTATGCATTTGCACCCACAGCAATCATATACACATTCAGATGCAGCTACATATTCACAGGCATGTCCGCCTGCATATACATATGCATTTACATATATGGCTGACAAGCATGCACATAAACGCATACATAGCCTTACATTTACACCTGTACACATGCAGGTATACATCCATATCCATACCCATATACATCTACATCTACATATACACACGTATGCACACATACATCCACACACACACACACGTATGCGTACACATTTAAACATTCACATTCATCGTCATTTACGTATCCATGTGTTGTGTATTTTCGCTCATTTTGCATCGGGTGAATGGAGACCTCTCGCTCCCCCAGGAAGATCATAGAATTCTCCCAGAATTCTCCCCCAGAATCTCTGGCAGCAGTGGTGGGGGCCCCATCGGATCTCCGAAAGCGGAAATCTCTGGCGAAATTTCCGACGAAATCTCCAGACAACCCTCCCGAGGTTAGGAATCCCGGCCAAATCTCCGACGAAATCTCCAGGAAGCCCCCTTCAGGTAGAAATCTCCGGCGAAATCTCCGGGACATTCCGCCCGCGCGAAAATGTCCACAAACGGAATCCCGTTGTAATCTTCCACACAAGGAATCCGGTCTTAATCTTTTACAGGAGGAATCCTGTTGTAACCCTCCACAAACGGAATCCGATTGTAATCCTTTATAAACGGAGCCCCATTGTAATCATCCACAAGAGGAGTCCTGTTGTAAAATCCACAAGGGGATCCCAGTGACATTCTCTACACAAGGAGTCCTGATGCCAGCCTCCACAAGCGGGATCCTTTTGAAATCCGTCACAAAAGGAAATCTATTGTAATCCCTCGCGACAGGCAACATAAACTAATCCCTTTGTAATCTTCCACGAAGGGAATCCTGTTGAAATCCGCCGCGCAAGGAATCATACTGTAGTCCTCCACAGAAAGACTCCTATTGCCATCGCCCATCAACGGAGTCCTATTGTAATCCTCCGCGCAAGGAATCCCATTGAAACCAGACACAAAGGCGTCCTATTGAAACCCACCGCTAAAGGAATCCTATCGTAACCCGCCACAACAAGGATATTACTGCACGCCTCCGCAACTGGAGTCCTATTGCTGTCCTCCACAAAAGAACCCCGCAGAAAGAATCCGTGTCAAACCCGATGATGTAGATTAGGATGTATCTGAATTGCGCAGGACGTCTTGGGTCTTGGAATCGGCGAGAACAGATGAGCATAGGGTATATCAGACCAGGGTCGAATATTTGAAGATTGCTTTTAATGCATTGCGATTATGACTGTCGGGGCCCGCACAATGGATTCTGCTGATGATTCTGATTGCCCGGGCCCACGCAATAGATTTCGCAACGCCACTTCTAAGCACATTTTGGCGTCGGTAGTTCGTTTATTCTAGGCTCTACACATATTAGTGCCACGGTCCGCGGTAGCCTTCGTAAAAAAGCTTGCCATCACCGCCCCCCGCTGCTCCCTGCACCGTGGTCTGGGCCAGTGTTTTTGTTGCGGCTTTGGGGGGCAGATCGACAACGGTATTGTCATAAGCTTCGGCTCCCGCCTGAGGGCGCGGCGGCACTATTACTGCTAGCGACGTTCATTCATTCGCAGTGTGTGTGTGGTGCGTGTGTGATATGGTGCGGTGGTGTGGTGTGTGTGTGTGTGTGTGTGTGTGTGAGAGTGTGTGTGTATGTGTGTGTGTGTGTGTGCGTGGGAATGCGCGCGTGCGCGGTGGTGGTGGTGGCGGCGCGGTGGCGGCGGTGGTGGTGGGTGGGCGGGGGGGGGCCGCAGGCGCCCAGCTCACCGCGCATCCCCGGGGCCGCGGTCCCCCATCGAAGGGGGTGGGAGCAAGGGCGGCCCATGGCCAAGGGTACCCTGCCAATCGCGCATCAGTGGGGCCGCGCCCACTTGCGAGTTGGAGGGCACGGAACACGCGCAGCGCCCTGCCCATCGCATATCCCTTAGAACGCGGCCCCCCTGGACGGCGATGCAGCGACGAAGTGCTCAAGGGTGGCGCGGGGCACCCTGCCCATCGCGCATCCTTAGGGCTCGGCCCGAAGGGGCGTCGCACCGCGCAGCCGCGGGGCGCAGCCTGCCCCGCGGACATAGTGAGGGGCTGGCCAGCAGAAGTGGCAAATATCGGGTCGAAGAGGGAAGGGTGCCTTGGTGCCTTGGAGCGCGCTGTCCGTCCTTATACTGACTCTGACTGTATTCCGCGTGCTGTGAATTCGCGCGGCGGTGCGTGGCGAGGGCGGGGCCGCTGTGCGCCGCGCCCCCGCGTTCATTTTCCGAGCCGATGTGGGCCGCGCCCGCGGGGGCGATGGGGCTGCCGCCCAGGGCGGCCCCGGCCCGCGACGGCCCCGCGCGCGCGGCGGCCGCGGGCCGCGGCGCGTGGGCGGCGCCGCTGTTTAGCGGGTCGGGCCCGCCGCTCGCTCGGGGCGCGGGCCGGCCCGACGCGCCGCGCGAAGGGCGGCCCCGGCGAATTCGCCGCGGGCGCCTACGCGCGCGCGGACGCGGGAGAGGGGGGCGAACTGCGTTTTGGCGGAATGTGGTGGGAGAGGCTGGAGCGCTTGGCTGCTCTGCGGCAGCGCCCGCACTTGCTCGAGCGGCCGCGCGGTCCGCGGAAGGGGCGGGCGCGAGGGGGCGGAGCGGCCGCGCGCCCACGGGCCGCGCCGGGGGGCCGAAGGGCACACGCAACGTGTTCTTGCAGTTCCCTCTCCCGCGGCCTTTCCCGAAGGTATGCGGCGATTCTCCCGCGGCCCCACCCTCCGCTGATTCCGGCCAGATTCATTCCCAGTAATCGCTGCTTTTCGCCGCCCGCCAGTCTCCAGAGCATTGCCTTAGCAATTCAGTTGGATTCCTTTGGGGTCAACCCGGGGGCGTCTTTCGCAGGGCCCGACTCATTGGATAAAGTTCGCCAGATCCAGTTTTTTGTTCGGGGGGGCTCGCGGGGGTCCGGGGGGGATTCCCTGGGAGATTTCCGCATCGTGGTCGGAATTGCCCCCAGAGGCTGCCCGTGGAGGCATCCGAAGGGGTGCGATTTTCGGAGAGTTTTCCCAAGGGATTTTCCATGGAGATTTCCACTGGGAGACAACGGGGTATTTCCTGTCACGTTTCCAATGGGATTCCCGAGGGGCAGAATTTTCCGGGCGATTTCCACGGGGACTTCCGAGGGGCAAGATTTCCGGGGAGATTTCCACTGATATTTCCGAGGGGCAAGATTTCCCGGGAGATTTTCCGGGAGATTACCAGGGTGTGTCTTGCATTTTCATGGGGATGCCCGGGGGGCGCGATTTTCCGGGAGAGTTCGACGGAGATTTCCGAGGGGCGAGATTCCCCGGGGGATTTCCATTGAGATTTCCGAGGGGCGCGATTTTCCTGGAGATCTCCCAAGGGGATTTTCTTGGGATTGCTGGGGTCGTTTTTCGGGCATGCGGGATGTGCTGGGAATTTTTAGGTGGTGCGCGTGACCCAGACATCGGGCTGTCCCAATTTTTTGGGGCATTCCAGGATGTCTTAAAAATTGTGGAATGTCTTAATTTTGGTTTAATGTCTTAATTTTGGCTCAGATGTCTTAATTTTGGCTCAGATGTCTTAATTTTGGTTCAAATGCGCCAATTTGGGCAATTTCCAATCATCACCATCATCATCACCATCCATCATCGAACATCGATCAA